AATTAAGTAATTGTTGTACCATGATATTGAACTTTTTTTTTTTAAGGCCACTTTAGAAAAATTCTTTTTTAAAAAAATCCATTGCCATGCTATTGGTGTCCTTGGTTTTGTTTTCTGGGCCTCTCTCTAGATGACTGTTGATTACAGATTTGTAACTCAAGATGAGAATACAATTTATCCTTAAGGTTCAATACTAATTCTCAAGAAACCAGTATAGAGTGATAAAGTATATGGGTATATGGTTATAACATTAATTGAAATCTTAGAGGATACCTGTGTAGCACTAGAGGTTTATAAGGAGAAACTGAAAAAGAAGGGAGGGCAACTCATCAGGTAAGATAACTTACCAAATAAGGACATCGTACATATCCCCCCACAAGATGTACAAATTTTTCCAAAGCTTCTAGTTTCCAAGGAGTCCTCTGGAAAATGTAACTTAGGAGGCAAAGACTCCTAAGATACCCTAACTTCTCTTCCTTAAGTACCCTTACACTTTGAGAACAGAAAATAAAGCATCTGGGAAGAACAATGTTTTTTGGTCCTCTATGTAGACTGGCTCCTTACGTAATTCATCAACTCTACTTTCAGCTTCTTTAAAGGTGCAAAAGCAACTATGTTTAAAACAAAGTACTCACCCTCTCTTCCCACTTTTTGATGGTGGGCCACTTCTCCTTTCATTTCTAGGACCTGAGAAATTCCTTCCTGATTTGGGTGGACCATTGTTGCCACGTCGATTCTGGCGATCTATTGGTCTCTGACTAGAAAAACTTCTTTTTGCAATTTCCCTCTTTGGAGGCAAAATGTTCTCTCCGACCTTTACAACTGTTTGTGCATTCAAGTCAGCATTTTTTTTTTCATCCCTCTCTCGCCTCTCATTGAAATCACTGCTTTCGGAAGCTGTTTCCCATTCTTCATTTGCCTGATCTGAAGAGTTCTGATTAGATAAATCTGGTGTCTTATTCCCCGAAATATCCCCAACAGTATTAACTGGTTCTTGAGCCACATTATTAACTGTGCCATTTGTGGGCACTGCTACTACCTCATTTGATTTTGAAGCAGCCTCCCTCTCTCTTAGCCGTCTAAATCGAGGCGGCTTGTCTTGCCTTGGTGGTCGGGTAGGACGCTGCCTTCGAGGCCTTTCTCTAGCTGGGTCAAATTTTCGCTCAAATTTTGGAGGTCGCTTATCTGCTGCTATAGGAATAAACTGCTCATGTCTTCTTGGTGGCTCTCCATCTTCTGGTTTAGGAACTTCTGACTGCCTTGGGTTCCACTGATTGTCCCGATAAGGTGGCCTTCGTAAAGTGGAAGGGCGTGATGGACGGCCTCCAGGATCCCTTCCACCACGCCTGAATGTTCCCCCTCTGCCTCTCCTTGTAGGCTCTCCTTTAGGAAGAAAGCCTGGTTTAGATTTATCATCATCCCTTACATAAGGCTTTTCTAGCAGTCTATTATCTATTCGAACCTGATTATCAGGCTTGAAAGAAGACTGAGGCTTTATAGGCTTTTTGTTTTCAGGTCGTTCCTCTCTTTTGGGAAGTTTGCCTTTACTTAAACTGTCCTTGTCACTTGCACTTTCATGAATTTCACTGTCTGTATCAGTCTCTGAACCCCGCTGTCGTCTTCTTTTGGGGACAACTTCAAAATCAGAGCTCTCACTTCGTGTTTCACTTTCTTCTCGCTGTCTGAGAGGCCCTGAGGGTACATGCTCTGCTCTGGGCTTATTGTCTCTGTATTGAGGATAATCTCGAGTGTGTCCTCTACCACCCCTGCCACGCCCTCCATAAGAACCTCTATAGCTTCGACCTCTGGAGTAATATTCACCTCGGCCTCGACCTCTGTATCCTTGATCTGGAAACCAATCTCTATCTCTAGCTTCTTTCCAGTAGGTTCTGGGAGGCAAAGTTGATTCTTTTTTAACTGCTGGTCTTGAGTCTGGTCGAGGCCTCTCTATCACAAGGTCTTTGCTGGTAACTTTCTCAGGTTGTTTTTCTTCTTTGACTATTGGTGCTGCCACAGTCTGCTGGTTTACAGTCTTAACTGCAGGCTCTACCTGAACACTACTCACAGGTTCCAGAGGCTTCTCAGTATCCTGAGATGGTTTTTGAGCCAAAGTTGCAGTTTCAGGTGAAGGAATTTTCTCTGCTTCTGGTTGAATTGGTGGTGGAACGGACTGTGGCTGAATCGGTGCTGGTGGCTGAGGTGGTGGTGCAGGAGGAAGAAGATCCTTCTTTTCCATCTTTTCAGGCTTTACAACTACTTTTTCAGTGACCTTTTCGGCTTTTTCTCCTTCTTTCTCCTTCCTCTGTTCTCGTTCCTCTTTCATATCTCTAAGTACAGGTTTTTTAATGGGACCCGATCTTCTCACAGGTCTATCATTACCTTCTTCCCTTCTGTTGGAGCTTGGTCGTGGACCCCAACGAGTTTCTGATTTAGATTTATATACTTTTTCAGGTTTTGGTCCTTCGGAAGATCGTAAAAAGCCTTCCTTTTTTGGTTTCTCCTCTGGCCTTTCTGTTGGTTCTTTTGAATCAATGCATCTGCTGGTTACTTTAGGAATGCTTGCAGATGGTTCATTTCTCTGCTCATCTGGTTTTTGCGTATGATTAGATCCATGGGAAACACTTCTTTTCCGGGAAGGTTGACTTTCTACAGCTGAAATCCGCTCCTCTTGAGGAGTGGATAAGGTCTTTTGATCAGGTACTTCAAAACAACCAGATTGATTACTTGTGTCAGTATGGTGAGGTCTAACATCTTCCACAGATCTGCTTAAAAACTTTTGCACTTCTGCCTCACTTGATTCTCTGACAAAGTCTGCCTTTGGATGAACCTCCAATTGATTATGTTCTACAGAATAAGCAGCAGTAATCTGTTCCTGATCCAATGCAGCTTCAGGCCTACAATAATAAGAATTCAAAGGTATAACCAACATAGCTATCCTTCCCACATGTAAGTATACAACAAAATAATCCCTCTAAATATAAAACAGAAAACAATGACTCTTAATCATAATGAGAATCTCTTTCTACATAAAAAGTTTAGAGAATTACTATCAATAGCCAAGAGGTAACAGCCTAAATATCCAATATCTTAATGGATAAAGAAAATGTGGTATACACATACAACAGAATATTATTCAGGGGTAAAAATAAAGAAAATACTGCCGTGTGCTACAACATGGATAAACCCTGAGGACATTATGCTTAAGTGAAGTAAGTAAGTCAGGACAAATACCTTACATGAGGAATGTAAAGTAATCAACCTTATCAAAGCAGAAACCATAATGGTGGCTACCAGGGGCTGGACTAGGGGGAAATAGGGTACTGTTATTTCACTGGTATAAAGTTTCAGTTACGCAAGATAAAAAAAAGTTGTGGAGATATGCTGTAGAACATTGTGCTTACAGTTAACTACATGGTACTGTATAATTAAATTTTTGTTAGGAGGGTAGATCTAATGTTCTAAGTGGTTTTTGCCACTATTAAAAATAAATGGACTTGGAGCAGTGGCTCATGCCTATTATCCTTGCACTTTGGGAGGCTGAGGGAGGAGGATCACTTGAGCCCAGGAGTTTGAGACCAGCCAGGGCAACAGGACAAAATTGTCTCTACAAAAAATACAAAAATTGCTGGGTACTCTAGCCTGAGTAACAGAGCAAGTTCCTATTTCAAAAAAAAACCCTGCCAATTTCAACATCTAATGCCTACAGTCCCAGCTACTCAGGAAGCTGAGGTGGGATGATCACTTAAGCCTGGGAGGTCAAGGCTGCAGTGAGCTGTGATTGCACCACTGCACTCCAGCCTGGCTGACAGAGTGGGACCCTTCTCAAAAAATAAAAATACAAAATGTAAATAAATAAATGAAATTTATTCCTTAAGGAAAAACAAAGTTAAGACCATGCTAATGTGAATTTCTAATAATTTCCACCTAGAATAAAATTGTACACTATAGTAAGCCTATGTGTCCCAATTAATTACAAATACTTATAAAACATTACCAAAAAAATACTCCATAAAAAAAAAGGAAGTTCTAACTATATGACTATAAATTATTACCATCAATTGTCTGCCACTTCAAAGTTAACTTTACATTATTCTATTTCTCCTTATTTGGGCCTTAAAAATGTTACCTAAAATACTGTTTAAAAAAAAGGCTTGGGCCAGGCGCGGTGGCTCACGCCTGTAATCCCAGCACTTTGGGAGGCCGAGGCGGGTGGATCACGAGGTCAAGAGATCGAGACCATCCTGGTCAACATGGTGAAACCCCGTCTACTAAAAATACAAAAAATTAGCTGGGCATGGTGGCGTGTGCCTATAATCCCAGCTACTCAGGAGGCTGAGGCAGGAGAATTGCCTGAACCCAGGAGACAGAGGTTGTGGTGAGCCGAGATCACACCATTGCACTCCAGCCTGGGTAACAAGAGCGAAACTCTGTCTCAAAAAAAAAAAAAGTTAAAAAAAAAAAAAAGGCTCACTGATGGAAAAATTATATTTACACTTTAGTTACTACATAAGTGTTGTAGATATACTTAAATTTCTTCATACCTACTCTAAATTAAAGACTTGCCAAGTGGCTGCACATGGTGGCTCACACCTGTAATCCCAGCACTTTGGGAGGTCAAGGCAGGCAAACTGCTTGAGCCCAGGAGTTCAAGACCAGCCTGTGCAACATGGCAAAACGCCATCTCTCCAAAAAATATACAGATTAGCAGGGTGTGGTGGTGCACGTGTGTAGTCTCAAACTACTCAAGAAGCTGAGGTAAGCGGATCACTTGAGTCTAAGAGGTGAGGCTGCAGTGAGCCAAGACTGTAACACTGCACTCCAGCCTGAATAACAGAACAAGTTCCTATTTCAAGAAAACCCCGCCAATTTCAACATCTAATACTAAATTACAGCATACAATTCAGTACAGAACCATGTTACAAAATGCCCTAACGAATACAGAGAATATATCCAAAGAATAAGTCTAATATGCTAAATTAAATAGAAGGAAACAGATTTATGGTTCCGTCCTAAATTGGAATGATCTTCAGAAACACCACAGTTTTCCTATTACCAAAATATTCTGTATAGTCTATTAAATTGAAATAATTTATTACCTTATATCCTCAGGCTCTTCTGTTGCTTTGGGAGTAGTTGCTTGTTGAGGCTCAGCATGAGGATAGGGATCTGACCCCCATAGCATACGAGGCTCAGAAAGGGAAATTGCATGATCTCTTGCAGATCGAGCTATATGCTCAAATGACTCAGAATTGTTTGGTGACCCTTCCATCTGGTCTCTTCTCATTAATGGTTTAGGAGGAATCATTCCTGTAACAAAAGTTCATAAAAAATTAAATGAGGATTTTGAAAAATGAAAGAAACAAAACATGATAGACATGGAATTCTCTATATTAAAAGTATTTTTTTCCTACAGTAAAAGATTGGTGGAAATTATGTAAGGGTTCTGTGAATGAGATTTTATCACTGCTGTTAAATAAAGATTGCATTTAAAAACTAAGGAAGCAAAATAAGCAAAATCACAATGGCAGCCTGTTTTACTTCAAAAGAAAGAAATATGTGCATAAAAATCAGATACCAAGTATTATGACTCTGGATATCAATACAAACATTATAAATTATACCGTGATAACTTTCAGAGAAAATTCTTTTCTGGATTCCATTAACCTACCTTAGTTGGTCAATATTCTAAAAAATATGGCATTTAAATTTCCAAATACCAGTATAAATTTAAAAATCAAAACATGATTTGTGATCAGCTTATCATCCCTAAATTTTTCTCTGTAACATTCTGGTAACAGATTATCTAGATTTATTCTGATGGATTCCATAAAAGACTGCTAATTCACTTGTTTTTTTTTCCCCTAACCTATAAAGAAATTTAAGTGTTAGGCTGGTAAATGATAGAGGAGGAACTTCAAAAGGAATATATATAACACATGGACAAAAGTAAAATGCTGAAAACACTTTAAAGAACAACAACAATGTAGCCAATAACAGATACTGCTAATAAGACAGAGAATTATTTCCATCTAAAAAGTTTTAAATAATACTTACAAAACAGAAACAAACTAATAATTTGTTCTTGCCACATAGGTGATATGAGTGGCAGACATGTAATTACTTGATGCTGAAAGTTATATCATTTTCCGATTAAAAATCTAGAGGTTTAAGTTTTTCCTAGATTACAACTCTCAAAGGAACTGAAACTAAAAGCAGGGAAAAAACAATTTTGATCCTGTAAAACTATAAATGCAAATTCAACTGACCAGGATGAATGGGTGGAATATCCATAGCAGGTCTTCCTGAAATCATTCGAGGATCCATGTAGGACTGCATCATGAGCCACCTTGGATCAAAACCCATGGAAGCCAAATGCTGAGGGTGAGGCTGCATGGGCTGATAAAGAGGTCTGTGTGGTGGAGGAGGGACAGTACCACTGGATGGCTGTGAAGGAACAGTCTGTGGAAGTACACCTTGCTGTTGCTGCTGCTGCCACTGCTGCTGTTTCATCTGTTCCTGAAAAAGTAAGATCCGGTATCTTGAGATTTTAGTTCCACCTGATAAATTAATATCACAAAATAATGGCCTGTTTTGAATCCTTGAAGGAAAAGTAAGAGTTCAAAAGATATTTAACAGTTAGAGTTGGCAAAAGACTGAAAGATGAACTACAACATTTTATCTTTTACTCAGGCACTGTATAATCTATTTTCTAAAAACGGAAGATGGTGCGTATAAATGGGGCAGAAGATAAAAAGGAATGACACAAAAGGTCAAGGTTAAACCCACGTTAACTTTTATTTACAAGGAAAAAGAATTTCAAGGGAACTTTGTGTGCTTTATGCGTTATAAGTTTTATGTCTAATTTCCCAGACGATTGCATAATAAACCATTTTAATCACACATACACGATACAATATTTTTATCATTACCTGCTGCCGCTGGAATCGTGGTGGTAAAGACTTCTGAAACTGTTTGAAATAGCCAGATAATACAGCCGGACGAGGTTGAGATCCTGATTCTGGTTCTGTTTCATGCACCACTGGTGTGGCTTCCTTTTCACTGCGATTGCTGTCTTGTCTAGTGAAAATAGGTTCCTCCTCTGCCCAAAGAAAAGGTGAAGGTAACAGTATTCATCTATGACACTTATCAAACACAAGATATTTACACTAGAATGAAATAGACTGAGGTATAAAAAAAGTTAATGAGGAAGAAAATATCTGACATCCCAAAACATTATTTTCTACTTTAACATTGGTAATTATCAACGAGGTAATTAGATTATCAAAACCTTAGGTTTCCTAAAAGCTGCATTCTTAGAGATGAAGAGCAGAGATGCAAATGCTTCATCATATAAAAATCTATGTTTGATATATATTTTTTTAATAATGAAACATTTCCAACTCTACCAATTTTCCATTTGTTTCAATAAACAATGTAATTGTCAGTATTTACTGGTTGTTCATTAAAATCTATGTGAAAACACAAATGGCCTATAAATACTTAAAAAAGAGAGCATCTTGGTTTATTTTATTTATTGGATAAAGGGACTATTATCTGTAAGGAAAACTAATGAGTTTAAGCCTGAAGACAAGAGAGTGATCACCAGTTATCTTCAAACATGATTAATTCTAGAATATGTCATTTGTCACAATTACAAAGCGATGCTTGTTACAAATTCTTTTCTCAAATGACTAGTAATAAATTTAAAATGGAAGTTTATCTCCCAATATAAAAGCATGCTGTTAAGAATCACAATTAACATTTTTATTGCTTGTATTACATTCAATATTAAGAATGTTGTAAAAGAGTGAGCAGGTCATGGTGGTGCAAGACTGTAATAACAGCTACTCAGGAGGCTGAGGTGGGAGGATCACTACAGCCTAAGCAACACGGCAAAAAAAAAAAAAAAAAAAAAAAAAAAAAAAAAAAAAAAAAAAA